ACTCAGTATCTGATAGTTTACTTGCCTATATTTCATTTAGTTCTCTTTCTGGGAATTCCTCTTTCCCCTTTGAGTGGGGGGTATTTCTTTGTCTTCCTATTATTTTTGAGACTCCTCTTTTTTGCTTCTGCTTCTTAAGTTGATCTGTTTTGATTTCCTGACTTTGTGGTGTGAACTTCAATGGTAGGAGACCATTGTTTTTACTTTCTGGATCTGCCTCTGATGATGTCATATGTCAGTCATCCCTGTCTGACCCTAGGCAGTCTGAGACTTCCAGGAATCTACTGTTTGTGGCTGTTTCCTTCAGCTGTTAATCTATTGATGGTTGCCAGATAGGAGGGGGCTGGGTTGGAAGGGTTGGACAGAAAAGGTGAAGGGATTAAGAAGTACAAATAGGTAGTCCCCAAATAGTCAGGGGGATGTAAAGTACAGCATAGGGAACAGAGTAGCCAAAGAACACATATGCATGACCCATGGACATGGACAATGGTGCAGGGTGCCTGAGGGAGTGGGGGTGGAGGCTGGGTTGAAGGGGACAAAAGGGAAAAACTGAGACAATTGTAATAGCATCATCAATAGAATATAATTTTTAAAAATCTCCAAGGGAGTTGGAGGGTATTTTGTTTGTTTGTGTTTTTATTTGAGTGTGTAACATGAGTGGGAAGTTCAGAGAGAGAGTGGAGGGCAAAAATACGATCAGTATTCCTGTTCTCAGCTCTGTAGTGGACTTGATCTTAGAAAGATCCTCTGGCTACAAATGATCTAGATTCTAGGTATTAAGCAATATTCAAAAAACTTCAAAGAACTGTTATCATACAGACCAATAAAATTTAGTTGAAGTTGTTAACAATAAGACAAATTAAAAATTCTGAAATATTTAGAATATTTATACATATTCTATATTACTCATCAATTAAAAAAATCATAATAAATATTAACTGGATGATAAAGAAAGTATTACAAAACTTGTATGGTGAGGCACAAGAGAAACTCTAGGGTATAGACCTATCTATGATTATAAAATTCTAAAACCCTGTGTTAGAAATGAAGGTTGAAAATTAATAATCTGGGTCTAAGATATACATTAGGAAAAGGATAAACCCAAAGAACATGTGAGAAAAAAGTAATACAGAGAAGAGGAGAGTGTGATAATTGCTGGGGGAAGGGGAGTATAAGGGGACTAAATGGTAATGGGAAAAATATAATAAGGATTAAATTTTTAAAAAAAGAGGAGAATCAATGAGGTAGAAAACAAATTTACAATAAGAAAGATTTTTAAAAAGGCAAGAGTTCTGCACTGAAAAGACTAATAAAAAAGAAAATCTTCTGGTGAGATTAATTTAGAAAACAAGGTAGAAGGCAGAGACAAGAGGGAAGGAGCGGTGGAGGCAGGGAAAGGGAAGGGAAGGGGAAAGTCAAGGAACATACAGCAAGGACTATGGACAAAACCAAAGGGGAAGAGCTGAGGGAGGGAAGGAGGGAGGGGGCAAGGGAAAGAGGTGGGGGGGGGGAGGCAGAGACAAATGTATTTAAAAAAAATTTAAAAAATGAAAAAAAAACAAAAAACAGACATTTAAGTTAGAGCCAATAGCAAGTTTTCAGTCATTGCAATATATAAAATATGTTTGCTTACTAAAAAAAAAGAAAAAAGAAAACAAGGTAGAAGGAACAAATAAAAAATATTAGAAGAGGAACAGAAGTAGAGAGAGCAAAGACTAAACTTTAAGTCAATAAAATTGAAAACTTAGACAAAATGCAAAAAATTCTTGAAAATATAACTTACCAAAATTGATTGAAGAATTAGAATACCGCAAGAGTCCTAAAATTAAAACGATTGAATCAATATCAAGACTCTTCCAAAGAAAATAAGTCACCCAAATGAGGTACCCACAAGGCTCTGGTTCATCTTCAGTTTTCCAGAGAGATTATGTTTTCTCCTCGCAGGAGTCACTCTAATCCAGTCAAGTCTGGATTGTAGACTGTTTAAAAGCTAGTCTCTACCTGGGATGCCTTTACAGTGTAAATGGCCCTTCAGGAGTTTTAACCTACAGCCTAGGCGTTTACTAAGGGCTCTCCTGGGTAGACTTTAAAGTTCCCCCTCCGTCCCCCCAGCAAATGCTAAGTTACTAAAACCTCTATCAGCTCTTTAGTCTTCAAAAAGCTGTTTTCTGCCTGAGGTCCTGAAATATTACTCAGCAGAAAAGCCAATCAGGAATAGCTGAATACCTTGGGGGAAACTGCTCACAGAAATTAGGGTTCACTTCTCTGTGGTTATTTCTCCAGTATCTCAGCCTCTCAAGTCCTGTTGGAAATGATAGCTCTTGACAACTTAAAGCAGGGGCTTTTTAGTATTTTATTATTTCTATATGAACAATAGATATATATTACTTTTATATTATTTATTATAAAATATATTTTTATTATATTCTTTAGTAATTAGCTCTTATGCTAATTCTCAGTGGTAAAGTTGTCTGATAGAAGTTATTCCATCATAGTCAGGGGTGGAAGGTCAATGGGCCATTTTTTAAAAAGGCTGAACTACTGAAATAGATGGCAGTTGCCTAATGATCCTTTAAAAACTTAAATCAGATCACATTAAAATCATCCTTTTGTTAAAATTATTAAATGGCTCCTCATGTCAATCAGAGTTAGGTACAATGTCCCTTTCAAGGCCCTACAGGGTCAGATGTCACCTCTCTTTACCTGGTCTTCTTCACTCTGAGATTAGCCACATTCGATTCCTGATTTCTTCCAATACGTAAGATATCGCCCTGCCTTGGGATCTGTATTGGCTCCCAGAGAATAACTGTTGCCCAGAAGTTTAACTCCCATACCTCTTTTAAGTCTTGACTCAAATATTACCCTCTCCATTAAACCTGTTCTGCCCCTAGATCTCCTGATCCCCTCTCCCCTGTTCTATTTTGTTGTTTCTATTAAGCTTTAACTTTCTGACATACTAGGTAATGGTCTTCTTTATTATATTTATTGTTGGTTGGCTATCTTCTCTCACTAGAATATAAACTACACAAGGGCAGAGACCTTCATTGTTGTTGTTGTTGTTGTGTGTGTGTGTGAGATGTAGCCTAAGGCCAAGCACCTAGAACTATGCCTGGCACAGAGGAAATAACTCAATTCACACTTGGTGAATGAGTGAATGAACTGCCCACTTGCATGACTGAAGGAAATTAATAAGTATTTACAGAGCACTCAACATGTTGCAGAAACTGGTATAGGCACTGCAAGGTATAAAGGTTAGTAAGACATAGCACCCAGTCCTAAGAACCATAAATTTGGCCTACTGGAAAATAGGCAGGAAAATGTTCATCTGAGCCAAGATGCAAAATGAACACTTTTTGCTTAAATTAACATTTATATTTTTATTTTATGCTGCCTGTTGATCACAGAAGTTGTTTATAGTATATGGAAATTCAGAGAAAGGACATACCCAAGGAGAAGTTCATGAACATTTAACCTTATGAACATCCAGAGACAGAATTTGCAAAGCTCCTAACGAGCCAATTCTGACAGCTACCAACAACGTCACAAAGGTCTCCTTAGTGATTTTAGTGTTTTGGTTTCTTTGGAGGTGCTCTGACCTCCATTAGTCAGTAACTGCAAAATCATGGAAGTGATGAAGATAACTCTGAATATCCTTCAAATAAATGAGGTTTAAAAAATCTTAAACTGGTAAAAAAAAGTAATTGTTACTCATAGGTAAAAGAGGAAACAGTTGATAGTCTGAGGGACAAATAGTATATAACATATAATGCTAAAGATGTTATACTTAATCCTATGCTTCTCAACTGCGAGGGATGTTGCCACTCTAAGGACCTTTGGCAACGTCTAGAGACATTTTTGATGAGCACACTTGGGTGCTGCTAGTGGCATCTAGTGAATAAAGGCCAAGGATGCTGCCAAACATCCTTCAAGGCACAGGACAGACCCCACAACAAAGAATTATCTGGTCCAAAATGTTAATACTGTATTGTTGAGAAAACCTGGCTTGCATAATAAACAAAAGACAAAAAAGTGGAAAACTTTAGACTAGATGAGTCAAGAATCTTTACCATTAACTTTGGATACGATTACTTCAGGAAATGAGTAAGAATTTACTGGAGAACATAAACACTAGACAAATGTATTTGTTGCATGCCACAGATGATCCCTTGGTATAAAGCCCCAAGTGATCTGTAACACATGATAGTTAGGGATGAAACAGCAGGTCTAGATGCCAGAGCTGCCAAGAAATTCTCCATTATCTTCTAGGCATCATTCAAAGTGTAATTACTTGGCTCAACAGATTTTTTCAGTGTCATTTTGAAAAAATAAATTCTGATTAAACATATTAGAAATGTAGAGGTGAGAATGCTTGAATTTAAAGCTTCAAAGAACAAACTCATACTCCAAATAGAAGAAAATACTCCTGGTGTTATAAACTATCTTAGTCACCAAGGACTTAGATATAAATCAATTTGAAGAGTAGTGTTTTTAAACCCAAACTGTTGGTATATAGATAAGTTTCTGAAGTTGGATGTTATAGATACACAGGATTCAGTAAAAAAATAATTAGGAGATAAGGCCAGAAAGGCAAGCAGGTGAAGATGGTAAAGGATTCAATACCAAGCTAAGGAGTTCATACTTAGTCCGTGGGTAATGAGGAGGCATTGTTTTGAAGAAGGAAGTAATGTGATTAGAGGCCAAAGTTTTAGGCTTTTGTCACAGTGTTGAATAATTTCAAAAGTCAGAAATCCCAAGTCAGACTAATTTCCAAGCTACTGCAATGGCCCACATGAAGATAAAGAGAGCCTACCCCAGGGTCCTGAGATAATAAAGGTATATTATATATTGAACCCAACGCCCACTAAATTTATAAAATAAAACTTCAAAGAAGCATTAACAAAACAAAGACAATTAAATCAGTGGAGAGAAAGGAAGTTTTAAAAAAAGGTGAGTATTCATCATAAGCATGTGGTCAGAGAAAAAAGATGAGACCACTTTACCTTTCCCGTTCTCCTGAAGTGGTATGGCAGTGCAGGTCTCCTTAGTCTTCTTTATCCTGAAAGTATATGTTTTTGCAAAATCACTTCTCTATAAATTCAGGGCACATTAATTTTTCAAAATGCATTAAGAGACAAGAAGTCTGCTTTCAGTGAAACTTACTTGCTGAAGGACATCATGTGAAATCAAATAAACATTCAAGAAACAAACTCCTTCCATCATAACTAACCTAATCAGAAGAAGATACAAACCAACTTAATACCTATTCTTGCTAAAAAAATTTTCAAGTAGATGAGTATTATACCTAACTTTTCCCATTTTATCTCAATTTATCTTTATCTTAACTCTCACTAATCATGACTGAGGGAATGTGAAAAGGAAGGGAATCAAGATTAGATTAACAGGGTATCTGAATATGCCAGCTAACCCACTCACTTATTTGGGCACTTTTTACCTATTCCTCACCACAATCTGAATTTTAACATTATTAACTTTTGTTCCTTCTGGAATAAGCCTAGATAAAGTAGGTTATTAGAGGAAACACGTCATGATTGAATCTGCTGTGGGTTAGATGTTCTATAAGAATTTCAAATTTCTTGTAACTACATTAAACTTTAGAAGTCAGTCAAAACTTCCAAATACTCTTCATCTCTAGGATTACTATTATCAGTAATATTACCAGAGAGTATCTTGAGATTCACTGAAAATTTTTATCATTAAACACATTTTTAAAAACATTAGACTTTTATCAGCCTTTTAAAATAAAATATTTACATATGGGGGGAGAGGGTAAGGGGTTGTACACAAAAGGAACAAAAATGAGCACTTCCCTGGTTTGCCAACACTGTTCCTTCACAGGGCGCGGGGCAACACGCAGAGGAGGATAAAATACTTGTAGGCAACTCAACATGTTCCCATCAGAGTGGCTAAAATAGAGACATTCATTTCAAAGACAGGCAAGAGAACTAACATTTATGCTTGCCACATACTTTATTAACATATGGCACTTAGCCCCACTCTTCTGCTTTGTATATGAAGAACACTTGTCAAAACACAATTGTAATATTGGGTTGGCCAATAAGTTCATTTGGTTATTTCTGTAATATGGCTCTAGTAGCACATAGTTCTCTTTAATTTTATTCTAAACAATTCTGCTACATTGTATTGACAGCTGTCATATCAGCATGCATTTTTAAAAAAAGCCTATCAGGTCTAGATGGCAGTGTAGGCAGAAATGGCTCACCTCTTCACACAACCACATAAAAATTACAACTAAAATATAGAACCATCACTCAGAACCATCAGAAATCATGTTGAATGGAAGTCTGACAACTACGGAATTAAAGAAACTATTTCCAACCAGACTGGTAGGAGAGGCACAGATGCAGAATGGGCTAGTCCCACACCCACATATGGTGGATAAAAATTTGGGAGGGATATCACGGGAGTGAGAAGTCCCAGCCCCATACCAGGACTCCCAGCCTAGGGTTCCAGTGTCCCCACAACTTCTGGCTGCAAAAACCAGTGGGGATTGAATTGGTGGAAGAAACTTCTGGAGCCCCAAGCAGCTCCTCTTGAAGAACCCACACATGGACTCACCTACTCAGACTCACTCCCTCTGAGCTCCAGCACCGAGGTGACAGCTTAAAAGGCACCAGTGGCATACTGGGAGAAACTGAAGGTTCTGACATCCAGGTGAGCAGAGACCATTGTGCCTTTTCTAAACCCTCCCGCAACACAGCCACAGAGCTGGCAAGCTGGTGCCACATCTGAGAGTCCATCAACCTGGCTAACACTGTTTGACCCAATTGGAGATCTCCAAAGATTCCACTGCACCCAACTTACAGGCCCAGCCATGCTGCTTTTCCATATGAATAACTGGTCTTGGCTCATGCTGCACAGCTTCATAAATCCTCTCAAACAATTAACAGCTGGTCTCAGTTAGCCCCAGGTCCACCACTAACAGCAGCCAACCTAGATTCACAGCTTGGCTTTGCCTGAGAATCTCCAAGCCCAGCACAAAGAGCAGCCATCTCAGACTGCTTTATAGCTCAGGCAGGGCGGCCCCAGGCAAAACACTGGTAGGGGCTGACACTGGCCTGCACCACCCAGGAACCCCCAGAGCCAGTGCACCCAGTGGACAGTGGACAGTGGACAGCTACAGACCACGTTGGAGCACCACCAGCCTGTCCCCTCAGAGCTGATCTTCCATGAAGGGTGGAGATTGGTGGTAAGTTCACAGCCAGTCCTTGCAGCTGACTGGCCTGAGTAAATCCCTCCCATTGATCTGCCAACAGAAACCAAGGCTCAACTACAAAAGGAAGGTATACTCAGCATACCTTGGGTACCAGCTTGGGTAATAGGGGAGGCTGGCCTCTACCTAATACGTAGAAACAAACACAGGGAGGCTGCCAAAACAAGGAGACAAAGAAACATGGCCCAAATGAAAGAACAGATCAAAAATCAAGAAAAATGGACTTCTGGCCAAGATGGATGCATAGGTAGATACACTTTGCCTCCTCTCACAATCAAAAGAATAACAACAAATTTAAAAACAAAAAATAACCAGAACTGCCAGAAAATAAAACTGTATGGAAGTCTGACAATAAAGGAGTTAAAGAAGAAACATTCATCCAGACCAGTAGGAGGGGCGAACCCAGGCAGCTGGGACAGAGAGGACTTGCAGAAAGGCGGTAGCTGGAAAACTGGGTGGTCCCATGTTTGTGTACAGATAAACCAGAAGGAACAGCTGGGGAGCAAGACAGACCACGCAATCCAGGATTCCAGTGCGGGAAAAGAAAGCCTCAAAATCTCTGGCTGTAAAAACCTGTGGGGGTTGTGGCAACAGGAGAGACTCCCAGTCCCACAGAAGAATTCACTGGAGAAACCCATGGGGTCATAGAATGTACACAAATCCACCCACCCAGGAATCAGCACTAGAAGGATCCAATTTGCTTGTGGATATTGGAAAAGCTACTGAAAGACTTTCGAGACCCGAGTAAGCAGCATTGTTCCCTCTCTGACTCCTCCCCGACATACAGCGCTACAACACAGAGAGGTGGGTTGCCCCACCCTGGTGAATACTTAAGGCTCCACCACTTACAACATAACAGAAGCCCCAAGACAAAGAAATATGGCCCAAATGAATGAACAGATCAAAACTCCAGAAAAAATACAACTAAGTGATAAAGAGATCTTCATCAGTTGCAGAGATCTGCAACTTATCAGATGCAGAGTTCAAAACACTGGTAATCAGGATGCTCACAGAAATGGTTGAGTATGGTCGCAAAATGGAGGAAAAAGTAAAGGCTATGCAAAGTGAAATAAAGAAAAATATACAGGGAACCAACAGTGAAGGCAAGGAAACTGGGACTCAAATCAACGATGTGGAGAAGAAAGAAGTAAACATTCTACTGGAACAGAATGAAGAAACAAGAATTCAAAAAAATGAGGAGAGGCTTAGGAACCTCTGGGACAACTTTAAATATTCTAACACCTGAATCATAGGATGTGCCAGAAGGAGAAGAGGAAGAGCAAGAAATTGAAAGCTTATTTGAAAAAACAATAAAGGAGAATTTCCCCAGTCTGGCCAACGAAATCAACTTCCAGGATGTCCAGGAAACTCAGAGAGTCCCAAAGAAGTTGGACCCAAGGAAACACACACCAAGGCACATCATAATTAAATTATCCAAGATTAAAGAAGGAGAGAATCTTAAAAGCAAGAAGAGAAAAGGAGACAATTACCTACAAGGCGTTCCCATAAGACTATCAGCTGATTTCTCAAAAGAAACCTTGCAGGCAAGAAGGGGATGGAAAGAAGTATTTGAAGTCATGAGAGGAAAGGACCTACATCCAAGATTACTCTATCCTGCAAACCTATCATTTAGAATAGAAGGGCAGATAAAGTGCTTCCCAGATAAGGTCAAGTTAAAAGAGTTCATCATCACCAAGCCCTATTCTATGAAATATTAAAGGGACTTACCTAAGAAAAAGAAGAAGGTCAAAAACTATGAATAGTAAAATGACAACAAACTCACAACTATCAACTGAACCTAAGAAAAATGAAAACAAACTAAGCATAACAACTAAACCAGGAACAGAATCACAGAAATGGATATCAGAGGGGAGGTGAAGTGGGGAGAATGGGGGAAAAGGTACAGGGAATAAAAAGCATAAATGGTAGATACAAAATAGACAGGGGGAGGTTAATAATAGTATAGGAAATGGAGAAGCCAAAGAACTTATATGTACGACCCATGGATATGAAGTAAGAGGTGGCGGGGGATCCCTGTGGGAGTAGGGGTGCAGGGCAGAGGGGGATAAAGGGGAGAAAAAAATGGGACAACTGTAATAGCATAATCAATAAAACACATATATTTTTTAAAAACTCCAAAAAAGGAGCTAAACAAAATGGAGATAAGCAATTTATCAGATACAGAGTTCAACACACTAGTTATAACGGTGCTCAAGGAAATTAGCAAGGATCTCAGCAGCATAAAAAAGATCTAGTCAAAAACAAATGATTTACTCATTGAAATAAAGAACAATTTACAGGGAATCAACACTAGAGTGGATGAAGCCAAGAATCATATCACTGATTTAGAACATAAAGAAGCAAAACAGTCAATCAGAACATAGAGAAGAAAAAAATAAAAAAAAAAATAAATGAGGAAAATGAGAATAGTACAAGCAGTCTCTGAGACAACTTCAAGCAGTCCAACACTTGCATCATAGGGGTGCTAGAAGAGGAGAGAAAGAGCAAGAAACTGGAAATTTATTTGGAAAAAAAAATGAAAGAAAACCTCCCTAATTTGGTGAAGGAAATAGAAAAGCAAGTCCAGGAAGCACAGAGTCCCAAACAAGATGGATAAAAAGAAGCCCACTCCAAGACACATCATAATTAAAACATCAAAGGTTGAAGATAAAGAGAGAACCTTAAAAGCAGCAAGAGAAAAGAAATTTGTTACCTACAGGGGAGCTCCTATAAGACTATCAGCTGATTTCTCAAAAGAAACTTCACAGGCTAGAAGGGATTGGCAAGAAATATTCAAAGTCATGAAATGTAGGAACCTTCAGCCAAGATTGCTCTACCCAGCAAAGATATCATTTAGAATTGAAGGGAAGATAAAGAGCTTCCCAGACAAGAAAAAGCTAAAGGAGTTCGTCATCACCAAACCATTATTATATGAAATGTTAAAGGGACTTATTTAAGAAAAATAAGATCAAAACTATTAACATTAAGATTGCAAAAAATACAAATCTATCAGCAATTGAATCTAAAAGAACTAAGCAAACAAGAACAGAGACAGAATCATGGATACAGAAAGCATTTTGATGGTTGTCGGATGGGAAGGGGTATGAGGGGTAATGGGTGAAGAGGTGAGGGGATTAAGGAGGACAAATAGCTACAGGGATGTAAAGTACAGGAAATGGAGTACAGTATAGGAAATGGAGTAACCAAAGAACTTATACACATGATCTGGACACGACTAATGGTGTGGGGATTGTCCCACCATTGTAGTGAGGGGAGCTGGGTGGAGTGGGGCAAAAGGGAAAAAAATCAGGACAACCAAAATAGCTTAACCAATAAAATATAATACAAAATTTAAAAACTCACCAAAATTGGTGAATTTTTGTGTACCCATTTTAATATTGAAGATGGAAGAAAACATGAAACATTTTTGGCATTTTATGTTTAATTTTATAAAGAAAAGTAAAAATGCAACTGAAACGCAAACAAAAGGTATGTGCAGTCTGTTGTGACTGACTGAATGTGTCAAAAGTGGTTTGTGAAGTTTCGTGCTGGAGATTTCTCACTGGATGATGCTGCACGAGTAGGTAGACCAGTTGAAGTCGATACTGACAAACTGAGACATTGAGAACAATCAATGTTCTACCACATGGGAGACAGCAAACATACTCAAAATAAAGTTATTGGTGAAAATGAAAAATATGTTTTTTATTTTATGGAAAAAAACAAACTTTTGGCCAACCTAATATATTCAAATTATCCTTAAGTAAATTCACACTCAAGTCAATGTGAAATGTTGGTGAATCATTTTAAAGACTTTATATATTTATTTTTAGAGAGAAGGGAAGAGAAGGAGGAAGAGAGAGAGAGAAACAGTGATTGGTTGCCTCTCACACACCCCCAAATGGGGACACGGCCATGGCCCTGATCAGTGGCCCTGATGGGGAATTGAACCTGTGACCTTTTGGTTCACAGGCCAGCACTCAATCAACTGAGTCACACCAACCAGGGCTGATGAATCATTTTACAAACAGCTAAACTGCAAATGAAAAAAAAAAAACAAAAACAAAACCTGAAACAGAGTGAAAACAGTAGGAAGCAACATAAAGACTGAAAATTTAGAGGCAGAGCAGGCTAATTCAGGGGGTGTTTTCTGGGCTTCCTGTTTTCTAATATGGTCATATGCATGAAAGGAGGCTGAGAAGACTGGTCTGTACTCAGTCAAGTCTGTTGCATCAGGCAGCCATCCATATTCTTACTCCCTTCCCTAACAAGGGCTGTGGCTTCAGAGGACATGAGAGGAGCAAGCTGAGTATCAGGGACACAGGTGTCTTGGTGATAGGAACACTGTCCTGGAGTAGGTTCTATACTAGGCATCCCTCTTCTTTTTACATCCTGTCTTTTTAACTCTTCCCATCAGCTCTTCTAGCAACTCTTTTTCACCACCTCTGATTCTGCCTTATGTCACTGTAATCTCACTTCAGAAAGAGCAATTTTGCTTTGTATATTTTTAGAGTTTGTCAATCTGTCCTCAGATAATATTTTAAATGATGGGAAAGACTTTATGTGTGCTATTGTTTATTGCAATATTACTTATAAAAGTGAAAAAGTCCAGTGATAGGAACTTTTAAATAAACTATGTTATTAAACACAGTTTAAAGAAACAATGGAACAAGCTGAACTAACAAGCAAAATAGAGACAGAATCATAAATAGAGAGCAGGTTGAGAGCTGCTTGGGGGTTAAGGGGTCAAGAGATCGAGCCAAAAAGAAAAAGGACTCAGGGACATGGACAACAGTGTGGTGATTGCAGAGGGTGGAGGGTGGCGGTGGATAAATGGTACTGCAAAAAAAAAATACAATTAAAAATAAATTTAGAAAAAGAAACTGTGGGCCCATCAATGAAATACATTGACAGTAACTGAAGATTATGTATTAAGATATATTTATCTCACTACAAGTGTGGGTGTATATATATAAAAGAGGCAGAATAAAAAATTTTAAGTACACTAAAATCACAACTAAAATAAAAATATATATGAAAATTAAGAAGGATAGAAGAAAACACTCAAAAATAAAAATGAATATGTTAGGATAGGTAAATTTTCCTTTTTCTCCCAAATCTTCTGCAAAGGTCTTATTTAGATAAGAACTAAGCATAACTTTTCCATTTTAGTATGTTCTAGTTTTCTATTTACATTACCTGGGTTTATTTCAAGAGCAGTTAACAAGAACCATAATACTAGTGGAAACCTCAAGAAATAGATTCTGAAATTCTGGTACTTGTGCTCTACATATAACTGGATGACTTTAAAGCTCATTACATGAAAATATAAGTCCTCCCCTAAAGAGAACTGCAAATCAGACTACTATAAATGTTTCATCTATTTTTCAGGTTGGCCATTCAATACCTAATGAATAAATAAATAAACCAAAGCAGAAATCAAATAAAATAGAAGAATGCCTTACTAATATATACATACATGCCTTTGAAGAAAGGGGTTTTCTTTTAACAGTATGTCAATCTGATTTACAGTTGGAAAAGTATTTATAACAATGTTTTAAAATGTCAGTGTTCTGGTTGACAAACTCATTTCTGAGAGCCATGCAGGGTCTTCATTAGGCTGATATCTCATTCAGGATCTCTCCTCAGACCATTTCAAACAAGAAATGAAACACATGGCTCTGTATTGAAAATAATGCAACCTGTTCATATTGCAGAGTTCATTTATTTTTAGTGTTAAAAAATCCAATAGTCTCATGAGCAATCTACACTAGGGCAATAAAGATGTTTTTAAAGAAAGTTCTTAAATCCTTTCCAGCAATGTCACTTAAAAACTGAGAAGAGAACCTACTTGTCAAACTAAGAAAAATTACTAAATAAATTTACAAAATAGATCATTTGTGGAAAAAATTAATAAGAAAAAATTGGATTCACCAGCCAGAAGGAATTCTACAAGCAGAAGTATTACTACAAATATATGTTCAGAAAAAGAGATCTGAACAGCATAATGTACCTGACTGGAGGCATGTGGGTATCAGCACGCGACCATCTGCTAAGAACCTCTGGTGGAGGTGAACTCACACTTTTTTGGCAACTTTGCAATCCTGGTAAATATGGCATTTTGACACATTTTTTGAGTTCTTCTAGACCAAATGCTCTGGTGTATTCTAATTAAAAAGAGTATCATAAATATCTTCATTATTTCTTGATTAAGTGTACGTCTTCTTTTCTTACATACTATAAGGCATAATAAAATATACTAAATCAATCATTAAGTAAAGAAAATTAAGCTACTGTAACTTACGTAGCATCTTTCCCAAGAAAATACATTCAATTCCTGCAGGGAAAAGTGATTAAGTTGCTGCTTAAGACAAAAAAGGAAAAAGGACAACTTCACAAATCTCCCCCAGTCTTCTGCCTTTGCAATTTTATATAACTAGAATTCTCAGAATATTATATATATTCACATTAAAAAGAGTTTAAAAGCACTCTCAAGAGTCTTATGTTATCTGCTACTTTAAATCTTTCCACCTTCCTGCTTTTGTAAAAAATCAAAATGTGTAAATACATGATCATCTGAGCTAGCAACGAGAGATAAAAGAATTCTATTTTCAAGCATTGGTTCTCATTATATCTCTACAAAATTCCACACCAAATCTATAAGCAACAACATTGAAGCACCACAATTTCTTCTCCTACTGACCTCACATATTACTGGACAAAGAAATTATCATGTTATTTTAAAATTTTTTCAAAATGAAGGACATAAAAGGGAAAAAAACAGATTAAGAGATTAAATGTTTGGTTGATCATTAAACTAAACACAGAGAATTGTTTTTAAAGATTTCTCTACTAAGCAAGTCTAGCCCAGCAATAAAAAAGATATTTAAGGGAACTGGAATGATATTAAATACTCAAAATGCTATTTGGCAACCTTTGATTTTTTTTTTTTTGCAAAAAAAATTTCTCTTGATCAAAAAAATATGGAGATTCTCTTTTCAGCAATTAAATTTGGGGGTAGCAAACAGATAAACTGGTGTCTTCTGCCTGCCTTTAATGGTAATCTAGTGAAGTTGAAAAACTGTAGCAATATATTCAAAACCAGATGTGATTAAATACTTAGGGAGTCTGAACTTTGCTATTTTCAATAATTATATCTTTGTCTATAAAGTTAATGGCAGAGCTCAGGATAAATTTTAAAAATACAAGTATAATTTGAAATTAAGGGGGAAAAGCTTTGTATACACTCATTTACATGTTAAAAGTTCTCAAATCAGTCTTTATTGAGTAACTATAGGATATAAGGCTCTTTCAACAGGAAAGGAAGGGAGACAATTGGTTAGAATTATTAATACAAAAAGGTGCTGTTAAAGATTGGGGGTTTTCTGGGGATTTTTTCTTTGTTTGTTTTCAGTGGTAAACTTTATTATTTTTTCTTTTTTATTGAATTTATTGTGGTGACATTGATTAATAAAATTATATAGGTTTCAGGTGTATAATTTTATAATATATTACCCATGTATTATATTGGGTGTTCACCATCCAAAGTTAAGCCTCCTTCCAGAACCATTTATCCCCGCTCTAGCCTCTTCCTCCTCCCCTACCCCTCTTTCCCTAGATTTGGGTTTTTTTAAATATAAAAACCAATTTCAGGTATTTAAAAACAAACACTATTATTCATGACAAGTAGTATGATCCAACAGAAAAGAATATTGCATTGATATCAACAGAAGAAATTCTTTCAAATTTGTTTCTACCACGAGTTACAAAATTACATTAAGTAAATTAATTTTAATTTGCTTCCATTTTTCTTTTCCTTAAGCTTAAGATATTATCTTTACTTAAATGTTACAAGAATTATAAATGTCTCTTATTATTTTAAAAATATACATGTAAATTCAAATTCACTATTTCTATATTTTCTTAAGTAAAATTGAAGTTACCGTTTCTCAGCTTCTGTGTTTCTAAAACTGCTTTCCTCCAACTACTCTCAAAAAGAAAGTAACTGTCAAGGGAATTTTTGGTGACATTAGAAGTCTCAACTTTGATGTCAGGAGATAGCACTGGCATTTTTTCTTCTTTCAATAGCACTGATGAAAGTGAGATGCTGATCCAGATTCGGGACACAAAATCCAAAAACAAAGAAAAGTTATTTCAGAGATAAATATTTTTTCTAATTTGTTTTCCATAGACCCTAATGAAAAGTTTACTTATATTACATATGTGAATATAGATTCTTGGTATTTTAAAGCAAGAGGACTTTAAGAATATAACTTAAAATGTGTAGCAAGAATTTTCTTTTATATATTTTAATGAATTCATTGAAACTCAAGGTTATAGATATTCGGCAATATAAAAATAATTAAGTCCAATAGCAAGTTATTATGTACAAGACAAGAAAATGCTTAGGATTCTCTCAAAAATATTACCATTATACACCAAGTGACATTTATCTCTGGGATGCAAGGATGGTTAAATATACAAATATTAATGAATGTGCTACACCACATAACAGAATGAAAGATAAAAATAACCACATGGTCATCTCAACAGATAAAGAAAAAACATTTGATAAAATTCAACACCCTTTCATGATAAAAAATAGTTTCAACAAACTAGGAACAGAGAGAAATTATCTCAACATAATAAAGCCTAAATATGAAAAGCCCAAAGCTAACATTATACTCAATGGTAAAAAATCCAAAGGTCTGCCTCTAAAACCAGAAACAAAGCAATGAAGCCCACTCTTGTCATTTCTATTCTACATAGCACTACAAGTCTTAGATAGAAAATTAGGAAAGAAAAGGGAATAAAAGGCAACCAGATTGGATAGGAAGAAGCAAAATTGTTCCTGTTTATAGAGGACATGATCTTAAATACATAGAATGCCCTAGACCACACACACAAAAAAATGTTAGAACTAATAAAGGAATTCAGTAAAGTTGCAGGATACAAAATCAACAAACCAAAATCACTTGTATTTTTATACATTAACAACAAACTATCTAAAAAGGAAATTAAGAAAGCAATCCAATTTACAATAGGATCATTTTAATAAAATACTTAGAAATAAATTTAACTAAGGGAGTGAAAGACTTACACATTGAAAAACTACAAAGCATTAATGAAAGAAATTAAAGAAGAAACAAATGGAAAGACATTCCATGTTCACAGACTAAAAACCTTATTAATGTCAAAATATCCATACTACCCAAAATGATCTACAGATTCACTGCCATCTTTACCAAAATCCCTCTGGTATTTTTTTTAAATAAATAGTAAAAAACAATTTAAAAATTCATATGGAACCACAAAGAACCCCAGATAGCCAAAAACAATTTTGAGAAAGAAGAGCAAAGCTAGAGGCATCAAACTTCCAGGTTTCAAAATACATTACAAAGTTGGATTGATTAAAACAACATGATACTGGCATAAAGACATATAAGCCAACAAAACAGTACACAGGTTAGAAATAAAGCCACACATATATAGTCAACTGATCTTTGACAGTGGTGCCAAGAATACACAATACGGAAAGGACAGTCTCTTTAACAGTTTTTTTAGTTTTCTCAACACTATTGCAAAAGAATGAAATTAAACGCTTTTCTTACCCCACACACAAAAATAACCTCAAAATGGATTAAAGACTTAAGCCTGAGACCTAAAACTATAAAAATCCTAGAAGTAAACAGAAGGGAAATATTTCTTGACATTGGTTTTGGCCCTGACTTTATGACTATGACACCAAAAGCACAGGAAACAAAAGCAAAAATAGATAAGTAGAATATATCAAACTAAAGACCTCTTGCACAGCAAAGAAACAAAGAGTGAAAAGGCAACCTACAAGATGAAAGAAAATATTTGCAAATCATATATCTGATAAGGGGTTAATATTCAAAATATGTGAAGAACTCCTACAACTCTCTAGTTAAAAACAAACAAACAAATAACACTTTTTAAAATGGGCTAAGGACTTGAATAGAGATATCTCCAAGAATATATGCAAATAACCAACAGGCATAGGAAAAGGGTCAACATCACTAACAATCAGTAAAATGCAAATTAAAACTACAATGTGGTATCAATTCACACGTGTTAGGATGGCTATCATTAAAAAATTTTGAAAAATACAACAGCATTGGGGAAGATAGAGAGAAATTGGAACCCTTGTGTACTATTGGTGGAAGCGTAAAACAGTGTAGCTGGTATGAAAAACAGTATGGAGGTTCCTCAGAAAATTAAAACTAGGACTGCCATACGATCCAGCAATTCCACTTCTGTGTATTTATCCAGAAGAATTGAAATCAGTATCTCCTTGAGGTATTAGCACTCACGTGTTTGCTGTGGCGCCATTCACAATAGCCAAGAAGTGGAGAAAATCTAAATATCAATAAATGAAAGAATTTTTTAAGAGTGAGGAGAATAAAGATGGCAGAGGAGTGAGTGAAAGTCACACGCACCTCCTCCCAGGACCAACCTGGAATTACAACTAAATTGTGGAGAGACCACCTGGAACAAACAACTGAACAATAGGGATAGAGGAGCCTTTTAGTCTCAGACAGACAGAAGAATCAGCTTTAACACAACCTAACTGGTAAGGAATGCGGTAGAGACTCAAGAAGGTAGGTGGGGCGCACACGGGCAGCAGCACCAGAAGGATATTGAAACGGCCAGTTGGATCCCCCTGAGAAGAGAGGGGTCTAAACCGTAAGTGAGGATCTCCAGACTACAGCACCAGAGCCCAAAAAAGTATACAGATAACAACAAGCTGCAAAAGGCAGCAGGGTTGCTCTCTACCAGAGACAGGCAAGTGGAGATGGAAAGAGCCATTTAGAGAGCCAATGCATAAATTTTATTTGCAACCACTTACCCTGGTCTCTGGCAGAGGCGGGGGCACAGTGGACTAGAGATGCCTGAGGAGAGACTATGGAAGGAGGTTTTGGGGAGAGAACTGAGAAAGTAGCTGGAAGGAGCCCGGCGCTGACTCATCCCCCATGCAGCAGCAGCCATCTGGCTCAGGTAGAGATGATTGCCCTGAGCAGCAGCAGTATCCAAGGACCCAATAGCCCTGCCACCAGGAGGGACTCCACCTCAACCTCAGCTGTCTAAGCTGGCCTGCTGAGTGTAGAGTGACTAGATTAACAGCTGAAGGAGACAGCCACAAACAGTAGATTCCTGGAAGTCTCGAACAGACTGCCTAAGGTCAGACAGGGACAACATCTTACATCATCAGAGGCAGATCCAGAAAGTAAAAACAGCAGTCTCCTACCATGGAAGTGCACACCACAAAGTCAGGATGAAGATAGATCAATTTAAGAAGCAGAAGGAAAAAGAAGAGTCTCACAAATAATGGGAAGACCAAGAAACACTCCCCAGTCGAAGGGAAAGGAGGAATCCCCAGAAAGAGAACTCAATGAAATAGACATAAATAAACTATCAGATATTGAGTTCCAAACAATGGTTCTAAGGAAGCTCAATAAAGTCAGTGATCTCAGATAGAATTACAAAAAATGACAGGGAAACTATGAAGAACTTACTGCAAACTATATCAGCATGAACAAGGACATAGAAACTATCAATAAGAGACAACAGGAAATGAAGAATACAATTTCTGAATTGAAGAACACAGTCGAAGGAATCAAAGCCGGCTAGATGAAGCAGAGGATCGAATCAGCAAGCTGGAGGATAAAGTACAAAAAAGCTCCCAGAAAGGGCAAGAAAATAAAAAAAGACTCAAAAAGAATGAAGAGGCATTTAGGGAAATGCAGGACATCCTGAAACATAATATGTGTATATTAGGGATACCAGAAGAAGAAGAGGGGCAAGGGATAGAGAACCTGTTGGAAAAAGTAATGATGGAAAACTTCCCTAACTGGAAGAGAGAAAAAGTCACACAAGCCCAGGAAGCACAGAGGGTCCCTTTCAAGAGAAACCCATTGAGGCCCACTCCAAGACACATCATCATTACAATTGCAAATATCAAAGACAAAGAGAAAATCCTAAATGCAGCAAGGGAGAAACAGGTAGTAACATATAAGGGAGCCCAGATATAGTTAGCAGCTGACTTCTCAACAGAAACAGTACAAGCCAGAAGGGAATGGCAAGAAATATTCCAAGTAATGAAAAGCAAAGGCCTGCAACCAAGACTGCTCTACCCAGCAAGGCTCTCAATGAAAATGGAAGGCAAAATAAGGAGTTTCCCAGACAAAAGAAGCCTAAAAGACTACACCTCCACCAAATCAGCGCTGCAAAATATGCTAAAGGGACTGCCTTAAGAAGATGAAGAAAAACAGTCTATGACTACCCAGTTCCTTTCACAGTTGCCAATACTTGATATTACCAATATTTTTAATACAGATTAATCTGATTGTGACAATGATCTTAATTGATGTTATCTTGTTACTTAATTATTTGTTGAAACTAAACTTGTCTTTGTATATATCTTGCCTATTTCTATTATTTTTTAAAAAACTTTAAATGACTTCTTGGTATTCTGTATCCATTTATTGATTATAGGTTTGTATTTTTGTTCTCTAAAATAAAAAATACAAAAACAACTATTAACCATTTTTTAGATATGTGGCAAATACTTTCCCATTTTATTACTTGTCCTTTAACTCTTTTCTATGTATATTACTGTACAGTCTTAAATGTTTAATATAGTCATATTGTCAATATTTTACTTTATAGCTTCTGGGTTTGAATATTAGACTTCAGGGTAAGAAAAATATTAGTTTGTATTTTCTCCTAAAACTCCTTAGATTCTACATATTGGTTTTTTACTATTGGTTATTTTACCTTAATATTTCTTGTATAATGTGTGAAATAGGACTCTATATTTGTTTCATTTCAAGTTAAAGTGGTCCATGCACCTTATTTGTTGAATAAGCCTTATTATCCCCACTGATGTGAAATATCGATTTAATCATATTACAATTTTAGGCAGATATATACATTTGTTTCTAGAATGCTCATTACATTTCATTGATTTACTTGATTATTTCTGTTCTGGTGTCATGTTGTTTTAATTGCTGAGACTTTATAATAGATCTAAATTTTTTAATATTTTA